ATAAACCTCCGACAGAACCAGGCTCGGTGAGGCGAGGGAGACGGGGAAATGCTTCCAGTAAAATACTTGAACCTTCATTTGTGACGTTTTTATTGGAAGAGTCCGCGTGCCGTGCAGACCGGGCGGCGTACAGCGGTGACCTTTGCTTAAAGACGTTCCCCGCAGTGTTTTGTACTTTGCAGCTTTTTTTAGACTTTAAAATACAGGCATGTGTGTCCTCTAGACTTTGCAACATGCATTTTTAATGATAAACCCACAGGTGGTTTCTGCAGGGTCCAGGAGGTAATTTCCCTTTTACAGAGGTCACTGCATCGTAACAGGCAGCAGTGCGTCTGTGTTCTGGTTCCGGGTCAGTCACAGATCAATCAGCTGCAGTCTTTCTGGGAAAGCAGAGTCACTGCAGCACTTTCACAATCAGTGCATCATTATTATTGTGAATATAAATGTGGCTGAAGCTGGTGAAGTATTCGTCTCTAGCTGATAAACCGAACTTACCGGCTAACAGCGTTCATATTTGTTTTGGGTCTGACAGGAAAGAGATATTCTATCAATTACCCGGCAGGCGTGAAATGGCCTGCGCACGCACTGTTAAATGAAAGAGTCGCCGTGCGTCATGTTGCATGCTGGTGTGATTGGGCTTCGTCATGCATGGATCCTCTGATGAAGTGACACGAACAGAGTTGTAAGAGTAATGATTTTGTTGTTTGTAGTGGTGTCAGACAAGCGAGGGGGGGGTCATCGGCGAGCGTGTGAAGAGCTGTCTCAGAGGACACGGGTATGCCCAGCTACAACACGGCGAGATGAAATGCTTGGTTTAGAGACAGCCCAGCTGACTGTAAACTAACCACGTGGGATCTGTCTTTACTCTCAAACATAATTTCTTCAATCCAAAATATTGGAAACGTATTTGTTGGCGCGATTTATCACCCAAACAATTTTTTCCTGCTTTTGGCACTCGTGGCTCCGTTACCCCTCTGAACGATGCTGTGCGGTCCAGATGTGACTCGACAGTCATGACCTGGTCAGTCTTGATGTGGGTTAGGGCTGGTGTTGTGTGAGCCAGATGTGGCATGAAGCTCTTATTGTCTTGTCATTCAGGCTGACAGATCATCCCCCTAAAGTGCAGATTCCCTGACCAGTTGCGAGTAGTTGGCCGCCCAGGTGATTTGTAAAACCCAGTTCATGAAGACTGGTGAGTGACGCCCTGGCAGCAGCCAGTTGCTGGGGAAGGTTTGTGCCCAGTTTGTGAGTGGTTTCTGGAGACGGCTGACTGCAAAAAGGTTTGTGGTTCTTCGTCTAAAACCAGAACGGCCCCGTTTTTACAGATCTACAAGCTTCCCAAAGATGCATAAGGCCAAAGCTGACAGCTCTGACTTCTTCTTAAATGAAACTTTTGTGCTGCTTTCTGATGTTTCTTTACTCTTGGTTTGGGTTGTTGTCATTTAGGCACAAGCTGCTTCCTTAGGCTCACAGATACTCGTGGTTTAGGGTAAAACCTCAACCTTACAGAGACAGTTTAGGGGCCACATCTTAGCTCCAGCATATAAAGTTGGGCAGCTCACCAGTGGCTGGCTCTGAAATGTGAAATAATAAGAAGACCTGAATCACAGCCATTGTTCACAGCTGTGAAACTTGATTTTCATGCTTTATTGGACTAAACCGAAACAATGGCTGCCTGGAAGGTAGGAGATCGATCCGAGAACACGTTATTTCCTCCGTCTAATGGGCTTAAATATGAAACCACTAATGCATGTTCCCCTTTAAAGCCTGATATTAAACTTTCTGGCTTTACATAGCAGTTACATTTTCAATTAAGACCCAACTACTGAAATCCAGCAGCTGCACCAAGTAAAGAGCTGACACACGAAGTTTTCTTATATAGGTTTTGTTTTACATTTGGCGTCAGGGTTATATGTAGTATTTCTTCAGATGGAGTTTAATTCTAAACTCGCTGCATTTGTTTTGGGAGAAAATGTCCCTGAAGGTGCCGTATGCAGAGTTCTGCCATCCATAAATCAGCAGCACATATAGTTCAGTACATTGCTATAATAACCATAAGGGAACTCATTAAGCTGGGGTGATAATTCAAAGTAAAACCGAGTCATCGGGGTGTGGGGAGGCTGAGCAGAAGATTAAAGAAACAGGGACTGATGCAGGGAGGTTGAAACTGGGTTTTAATTGTTACAAAATTATATGTATGATAGTTATTAGTGGCAACATTCAAGTTTTCTATGATGCAGGTGTTACCTTAACATGTAAATGCACAGACTGTAAATAATTTTAATGTTTGCTGAAATTGTCCCAAGGATTGATCA